AATTTGCTGCGAACCTGTTCAGGAAGTCTCTTTCTAGTAAAAAAGATTGACGATTCCCAAAGCAGACGAATGACGGAAAAAAAGGATTTCGTTCTTGAGTGTTAGTCCAGTCATAAGAGACTTTAATTTCGGTATTTCTTGTCTGTAAGAGAAGACTCTGTATGAAGTCGTGCATACTTAGATAGTGACGATTTGGCATCTACTGTAAGTAACTGATCCGTATTTTATCATCTTCCAAAAGTCTTGAAAGCCTACTCACTACGAATAATTTTTTTAATTTTCGGATCGAGTATGCATCTACAGTATTAGTAAAATTCAAGGGCATCGTGAAGCCTACCCATATTAACGTGTGAAGCCTAATTAAATCCCATCAAATGCTATAGGTTGACTAAGTTCCTATTGGTATTTATGTTACTGGACTATTTCTATGCATGGAAAAGCAGGTTGGAGTGCCTGGCCTCCCTCAGATTCGTCAGAGCTGGGCTATTGTTTGTCTCGTTTTATCTGTACTCTTATTTAATGTCGCTCATATATGAACGTAAATTTATAGCTGAGACTGTAATATGTGGGTAATCTCTCTTCTTAATCTTCCATTGACTATTGGTTAGATCGCTTTTAGCATTTATTTTAACGACTACTAATTAAGAACATGAGTATGCGCTAGCTTACTTACATGCAAATATATATATATATATGCGTTCAAACATAGTTGTGTACAATCAACATTCACACTTTATCCGAGATTTGTGAGTGATTTAGCTTCGTAGCTGGTTGGCCATTTTCATGTTTCTTCTGACGCTTCATTTTAAATCTCTTTGCATATTTTGCTAAATCCTAGGCCATAGGGAGTCTGTAGTTAGGCCTGGGTGAGTAAACCTTTTGAGAGGCAAGGCAAAGTGAAATTCCAAATCACAGTAAAACCCACTAATATTAATGTGGAAATAAACTCCACACTGAGCTTCATATCACATTAAGCCTCCTAGAATACTTAATTATTTTCTGATTCACCAGTGCAAGTATTTCGTCTGTCCCGCGGTTATATATTGCCATATATTGTCAAAACCAGCTTTACTTGTTTCTGATTTAACATATGATAGTCTTATTCGTGTTATGCTTTTCTACTTGCTTGCAAGTGTTTGTGGGGTCTGGCTCATCGAATTATTTTGCAGTGTTATTCGTGTGTATTTGGTTTATTTTCCTATTTTATTTTTATTCTATTTTATGCGTCTTAATTATTCACGAGTTCTCTGTGCTATATAAACCTAAACAGATTCAAGTCTTCTATTCAGAATATTTACCATTTTTTATTTCTCTAGATTTCTCAACATTGCAATCGCCTGTGACTACGTCGTTTCTTGTTAAGCTTGTACAACATTTACAAATTTGTGAGACCCACTTACTTTTGTAGGCAGTTTTATGCTGAGCTAACCCCTTCTGGGTGTGTCAGCATTTCTTTCTACATAGATATTACAACATGCGGACAACGTTTTATAACACTTTTCTACAAATACTACTTAGATTGTCAGATGAATGCGCCCTGTACTTACTCACATAAATCCAACTTCTCTTCTCCTTCAATTTCTGATACTGCTAATTTATGAATCCCTTCCATCCAACTTTTTATTAAAAGTGAAGTTTTGAACAATATTACATCAGAACTGGATTCTTCGAAACCCAGCTTTTTTTCATATGTCTGTCGATAGACCGACAGCAAAGGAAATTCACTAGCCTGTTTCTGAAATTCAGAGGATCCAACAAATAGCCGTTATGTCACAAATACATCGCTGATTCATAATGCGATTCGATTCTAGTCTGACTGCGGGCTTGTTGTTCATTTTTCACCTCTCTTCTCACGCCCTCATTTTGAACCTTTTTACAGTTTCTGATAGTTCCTAGGCAAGATTGAGTCTACAGTATAGCAAGACACAGTAAAATTCAAAATCCCAGTGTAACCTACTCATAGCATTGTGGGAATAAACTCTACACTGATCCATAAATCACATCAAGCTACCTAGTTGCTGAGTTTTTATTCGAGAATTACTGATTGCTTCAAAACCTACTAATACTGAATGCATTATTCATATCATAAAGTGTGGCTAAGTGAAGATTCCTCCTGAGGTTCTGTCAAATCTATTGCCTGGACGACCATCGTTGAAATCGGTCAAATTAAATCGGAACTCGGCAAAACGGAAAGGCCACAACAGGCAAATAGTTCAGACTGGGTTGATGTGGCAGATGCCGACCAGGCGTGAGTTTCAGGGGGATCTGCCAGTGCCAGATAGTGAGTCCGGTCTTGCCTGCGAGAGCACTGTGGTTTTGGCCTGAGCAAATGAGCTTCTGGCCGAGGATGATTCCAACAAAGCCCAAGCGACCGGATATGCACCACTCGAGGCGAGTGGCGATGGTGAGAGCATATTAAAATTCTAATTTTACCATCCAAAGCGAATGCCCATCTCAATAGTTCGACAATTGAATTCCCCAAACAGCCAGCCAACCGGGTAGGCTTCTTTTTTTCGCTATCACGCCGTATTATCTCTTCTCAAATACCCCATGCCTCCTTCGTCTTCTACCCCGTCTCCGTTACCACTACCAGATTCGCCTCACCACCGCTCCAAATCCAAACCTCGCCGGCCACAATCTTGGTCGAAGCACACATAAGGTGAGCTCGACTTCCGGTGCGCCCCTCCAACAGACTAGAGAGTCTATCACTTCTTCACTTCTTAGTCTAAACCTAGGCTTCTCCTACCGTCCCTCTACCAACCTAGCCTCACTATCGACTGCTCATCCATCCACCCAGCTAGTCGGCCAGTCTGTCACTCAGTACCTCTAGCTACCTGTATGTATGTATGTCTGCCAGTCTCTGTGTGTATATATATTCCAGGCTACATTCTTATAACTGACGCGATAACACTGGATGTGTGTTCGCATGGTTTCAAGTGTGAAAGACTTGCATCAGTGCAAATTTGCAAAAGATTGTGAAGTGATTAATCCGCCTGTTCAGTTATAAAGACATATTCCAAATGTATAGGCATACCTAAATGATATCATTTTTTACTTTATACAGATAGGCCTTCATTTGCTCTTTCCTATAAGCGTGTGAATATCTTAATAAGTTTTGGTTGCTTGGACATATGTGACATGGCTTGGGCAACACATGCGATAGGTGGCAGAATAGACGGATGGACATTAATTTGTGTGGTTATCCACGAGGTGAGTGCATTGACCCGAATTTTTCAGCTTAGCCTCGTTCCAACAAAAGCGGAGCCTTTTCTCCCTTCAGTCTCTTCACTCCCGGTCGCTCAGGTTTGATATTGCCACGATGTTACGGACAAGTTCAACGGAGGGGATAGTCTCTCAAAAGGTATGTATCAGGTTGAAAAGAAGTGTAGAGTAATGCAAAACTCACCAAACCAAGAGGCTGGTGCCAGCTTCTAATCTACATTTCAAGGCTCAGTCATCTGAGCAATGAATAGAGCCTAAGTAGTGTATGCTAGTGTATGGCTGTTTGCCTGTATGTATGTGGGTGTGCACGAGTAATTTAAATGAGGTGAGTACTGTATCGAGGAAAGAGGATTGGTCGGAACTCACGAAATCTGACTATCATCATTATCCTCATTCAGCATGCATGCATGCATGTGTGTGGATATTCCTGTAATAATATGAGAAGCGAGACGGGAGGAGGGAGTACTGAGGCTAAAGTAACTTCTCTCTTTCTAAACGGTCACCTTTGTTAACACAAGAATGCAACTAGCTAAAGCTCACGACTATTTTATTCTCACATGTAAGGCAATAAATAGATGTGCTTATTTATTTATTTATTTATTTATTTGATTAGTTGTCTGGTTAGCCATACAGAGTTTGCTCTTCTCGGACGATAACTAACTAACAACCATGAAAGCTGGATGAAAAAACAGGCTTAAACGGAGCGTATTTGTGCGGAATATCAAAACGTTACTTTCACCCAAGAATGTACTAAGAGCCTTGCTGAATACACGTCCCTCAGAATCTTTCGATTTTAAAAGATGTAAAGTCTGGAGGTGGCAGAAACCAAGTCCTGCCTTACCTAGCCAAAGAACTTGATCCATAACTCCGACATGAACCACCAAATAAGCTTTGGCTAGCAAATCTATCCATTTTTGACATCGTCTTGGGTCCCCTTCATGATCCGAAGCCTATACAGAAGAGAATATTTACCGGAATTCGGGATCCTAATGAATTCGCCATAGGTCTCTACATTGTAATTGGTTTCAGAGCAGGCATATATACTTACAAGCTAGTCATTTTTGAGGTCGTTTTCTTCATAAGTCAGATACCCAACTCATTAAATGCTGCTCTTGACATAAGGAGTGTCTGATTATAACAGACTAACATGGAAATTTGGCCAAGCTCCTATGAAATATAGTCAAATTCAAGTCCTCTTCCTAAATTAATGGATTGATCAATTTGGTTGCTTGCTGAATAGGATTTACCATAAATTATGATAAAATGTAATTTGTGTACTTCGGTAAACTCCATCAATCTTATACAATTAATGTGAAGAAAAGCAGAGTCTTTAGTAATACCCTAATATACACTATTTGTTTTACTGTTAATTTCCTTTTTAATCTCTCAGAGTTTCGAATGAGCTTTATTATCCTGACTTACGCGCCCACATATGCAATACCCACTCACAGACGTTCCTCAAGCATATAAGTAATTTGATTGAAACGAAAAAGCACCAAACAAATAATATTATATCATCTTATTTATCCATATATGGTCAGCTTTTTAGTTGAGCTGGCTTTATTGATCTAATTCAAACTTAGTATTAAAAAAAAGATACACCTATCACGGTTTTGATCGGAGACTAAATTGGATACCTCATGACTTGTGCCGAATTAGAAGGGAGTCAGGTATCTTCTTCTGATGACATAAAAATTTGGATCTCTCCAATAGGCTCTTTTACACAATTAAAATCATAACAGAAAAATAAGAGTATTTAATTCGAGACCATCCATGTAAGTGAAGTGGAGCCAATACGAAGTCTAGAGGAAAATATTCAACAATGATACCTATTCCATCTTGCACTGCCAAATTTGGGGAGATTTACTCACAACTTTGTCCATATATCATTTTTCTCAAGATTCCGAACCAGGCCCTGCATATCAAAATTCAGGTATCAACACGAACTTTTGGTGCGAGCTGTTTAAAAACTGGTTTTCGAAGAATCCCTTAATAGATTGACATTGGATTACCTTTCATTTCGTTTGAATAGGCGAGTGGAAGGGATTCTTAAGTTGCCCTCACCAAAAGCTGTAGGGGAATTGCATTGGATTGTTTTTTTTGCATGTTTTCCAAATCTGGAGCCACATCACAGATTCAGATAGTGGGAAGCATATTCTACAACATGTGTAATGAAGTCTCTAGTCTTGTCATGTAAGGTAGGTGAGAAGGGTGCGACGATTAAATGCAATAAAGCTTCATTCAGCTCTGCCCCACAGAAAGCTTGCTCATTCAGAATAGACGGCTATTTTAACCTCGCCTCATTGTCTCATTATAACCTTCAACTGGGTCGTGAGCATCGGTCGACAACATTAATACTTCGCCACACAGCCTCTATAGCAAGGGGGCATATTTCAAGCGAAGCCGGGGCTCTCCAAAGCCATGATTATTAAAAATCGACGGTACTACTTATTGAGTAGGCTTCAATAGCACCTCTAAATCGCTTCTTTAGCTCCTTTTCAGAAATAGCAACGACTTGCTTGGATATCAGCAAGCGACGCGAAACCCCACGTCCTAGCGCTTCATCTATTTCAAATCTACTTCATGGTTGGAATTTGAGCTTGAGTCTCGAAGACTGAGAGTTCCTGTAAAAGTCGGGTTGGTCTAAAATAGGAGGAATGATAGGCTCTTGAAAGTAATTATCATAATTCCTGTGATCCATAGAATATTTTTATGAAAATATGCAAACATTTAATTATTAATCAAATGTTTAAATTTTAAATAATGAAATTGCTTGGATGGATCTCTTTCCTGCCCTATGATGTCCCATTTGAACTCCCAGTTTTCATACAGATAAATATTTTAACAAGAAGGAAAGTAAAGTAGAGGCTATTTGCAATTATTCGGGAATCGTAACTAACTGGGTGTAGAACTATTTGTTACCTCATCATTTCATCATAAAAAGTTAGGTTACTTCGTGAGCATTTTCGCTAAATGCGATCCTCTTCTAATGCAGTGTTTATGAGCTAAAAATAAACTATGATTAGTAAAAGTTACCATCTTATCATATGTTTCAGCTATTCTTGCATGAATTCGATCAAATTATACAACTTTGCGATTTTACTAGTAAAATGGTACCATCAATCCTTGCACCTCATTTGTTTTTTAACAGTTAGCATATATTTTTTGGTAAACTAGTATACTGTCACATTATCCGCATCTTCGGAATATAGAGTCAAAAATTAACTTTCATAAATTAATCCCGGTGCTAACGTTATTTACTTCTAGCGTCTTGAGTTCAATGGTCCCAAAAATAAGCCTTAGGCGCGACTAGGCTTATTCATATGTTGGGCTGTTTTCTGAAGCTAAGCATTATCAGGCAATTGAAGATATGAAGACCAAGATGTTGTGACCTCTAGTATGGTCGCACTCTCCTTTCGATTAATAGAAGTGGGTTGACCTCGTTGTCGCAACTTGGTCTTGTTGTCAGGGGGACTTAGTAGAACGCACCTAGTCGAAGTTGTCTGTCATAGTATTTGTCATGATTACCAACATCTGACAGTGGTTTGATACATTCTCAAGCGTTTCGCCGGCATCGCACTCGGCATCATCAGTGAGTTTTGCAATTTTCCGCACCAAGCTACGAACTCGTCAAAGAAACAAGTGAAGTCAATCCATCGACAATCGTTCTGTCGAAAACGGTTACATTATCACTGCTCTTTCTGTCCTGCCCCTTGACGAGTTCCTAGCTTGGTGCGGAGAATGGCAAAACTCTGTGATAATGCCGTCTACGATGCCGGCGAAACGTTTGAGAATGTACCAAGTCCACTATCCGATGCTGGGAATCATGACAATTACTATGGCAGACGACTTCGGACTAGGTACGTTCTACTAAGTCA